ACACACACACACGCGCGCGCGCACACATATATATATTTATGTTTTTTTTACTCAAATTTGAAATCACAAATTTAGAAGACTTAATTGTTTGAAATATTCTTGACTTAGGTTTTTTTTTGATTTATGACTTACACAGACAAACACACACACACACACACACACGTGTATACATATATAATACATACTGTCTATATAATGTATAAATGTATGATAATAATTATAATGAGGATGGGAATGATGTATTGATAACTTGTTAATGTCACTGGAGATGTAAATAAATTAATGGTTGTTTGTTTTGCCTGTATGTTTGTACATGTGTATGTTTGTGTAAATCTGTTTGTGTTTGCACGTTTGCCTATGTGTTTGTATGTTTGCGTGTTTGTATGTTTGTGTGTGTGTGTTTGTATGTTTGTGTGTGTTTGTATGTTTGCATGTTTGTGTCTTTGTACCATTGTTTGCAGATAAAATTCGAGATGTTGTTGAACCTTTTTCTTAATTGCCAAATATAAATAATCCAAAATAATCCGAAGTGATTTTGTTCTGAGTTCATGAATTTATTTATTTAAAAAATAAAATGTCGCTATATAAATAAACAGGATTTCCTAAGAAAAAAAAACTTGTCGTTTACTGTTAAAAAAAATCCTTAAAAAATTCACAAACATTGAAATATGGAATCAAATTTATAATAAAATTAATAATAATAATAATAATAATATGAATAATAATATGAATAATAATAATAATATGATTAATAATTATAATAACAGCAACCACCCAACTCAAGAAAAAAAACCAAAAAAATTCGTCTTTTTTGAAAAATTGGGAGAAAAAAGTGTGAACAAATTATTATTTTTTCACTGTCAGCCACTTAGCAAAAAAAAACCCAAAAAAATTAGCTCTAATTGCAGCAATAACAGACGCTGACATGAGGCGAAGATTGTTTCAAACAATCTAACATACATGCGTACAATATTATTTTAACATGGCTATTATTACATATAGATGGTAATTATAAGATAAATTATAATTGTATATGTGCATACATGTGTGTGTTTGTGTATGTGGTGTGTGTGTGTGTGTAAATTTTGAAAATATCAACTATAGATACGCTAATAATAATAATAATGATAATAATAATAACAATGGAGATGATGATTGGAAAAAAGCTATAAAAACATAGACTATAGAAGCATAGGTAGACAGAACATAGAAATATTAGCGGCTCTTAAGTTTAGTGAAGTCTGGCGATAATAAAGTGATTCGAGACGTTTCAAGCAAATTGTTTTGAAACCATCAATAAACATACACAATGAGACTTAACAAATATAAACATTTGTTTGTATGTCTGTGTATGTTTTTGTGTGAGTTTGCATACTTGTGTTTGTCTGCGTGTTTGTATGTATGTGTGAATGTGTGTGCATGTATGTGTGTATGTATATGTGTATATATATGTGTGTGTGTGTGTATGTATGTGTGTATGTATATATGTTTATATTGCATGTATATTGTTACACTTCAGTAAGTTACTAGAAGTAGTCAAAACATAATTAAGTAGTTAGTTTTGAAATATTTGCCCATCTGTTTCATTCATTCGTTTCTTCGTTCTATCTATCCATCCATTTGTCTGTTGTTCATTCATTCATTTGTTTTTGTTCCTTCATTCTTCCACCTATCCGTATTTTTTTATTTTCAATTTCTACAAAATTGTTAGTGCTGTTAAAATAGTTCGTTTATTTTTTTGTTCATTCAATTCATAATTAGTACTGAATTCATTCATTCATTTATTTGATCGTTCATTTATTCGTTCTCTCATTCATTCCTTCATCCATTCACTCAATCATTCATTCATGTAAGCAGAGAGGAAGAAGAAGAGAGAGAGAGAAAGAGAGAGAGAGAGAGAGAGAGAGAGAGAGAGAGAAAGATCATAGCAATAAGAAGAGAGCCTGGTGTATTAGGCGAGATTAAACAAACGTTTGCCTTATTAACTTTTTAAACGTTCATCAATTAATACCCCAATACAACATGCTTTAAAAGAGAACATGCGCGCGTGTGTATGCGTGTGTTTGCGTGAATGTGTGTGTGTGTGCGTGTGTTTGCGTGAATGTGTGTGTGTGTGAGTGTGTATTTGTGTTTGAGTGTGTATTCGTGTGTGTGAGTATAGTTTATGTGTGTGTATATATTTGATACTTTATATGTGCAAGCCTGTGTTTTTATGTATTTATCGATGGATATGTGCTACTCTGTGCGTGTGTGGTGTGTGTGTGTGTGTGTATTTAATAATATGTGTGTGAGTGTGTGTGAATTTGTATGTGTGTTTTAAATTATTTGAATGTATGTGTGTGCATTTGTTTGTGAGAGTTGACGTTTATTTAGTGTATATATTAATATATGTACGTAGATGGATGATTTTATGAAAGACATTTGAAGGATTTTCAAGGCAAGCTGTTGGTATGTTAAATGGTATAAATGTGACATTATATCCGAATGAAGAAATGAATGAAAATATTTCAAATAAATAAGTAAATAAAATTAAAGTGACCGAACTGGGTATGGTAGATGAATAGGCTGCAAATGTATGGACGGATAAAAGAACAAAGAAACCCAAGTAGCAGATATACATAATTTCATCATTTTAATATCATCTCCGCCATATTTCCTACCCTTCATAATGCCAGAACTCATTAATTTTGCAATGATTATAGTCACTTGCAGTCGTCATCAGCATCATAGTCATCATCTTCCTCCTCATCATCATTGTTATTATTATTTTTAATTCTGTTAATAATATTTTTAAATTAATGTAAAATTGACGCAATAAATATGGTTAATTATTATCATTAAGTTTGTTTTAGAAACATGCTCAACTTTAAGTCAATGCGTGTTTATATTTTTATCTTTATTTCTTTCTCTCCTTTTTCTCTCTGTCTATCTCTATATTTCTTGCTTTCTTTTTTCACTATCTCTCTCTCTCTCTCTCTCTCTCTCTCTCTCTCTCTCTCTCTCTCTTTTACCACCTTGATAGGCAAGCAGCACACACAGATGAAACAACAAAGATTAAACAAAAAAATCATCATCAGCAGATGACAGCAACAAAGCAAGCCCAACAAACGAACATCCCACTTAACAAAACCCAGCCATTACATGCCCATGCATATGCAGTAATACGTTCCTACACGAGACTCTGACGCAAAAACCGCCCACTTTTTCACAACCCACAACTGAAAAAAAATCAGTCGAGACTACAAAGAAAACTAAATGAACATAATCAAAACAAATATTACTACTACTAATACTGCTACTACTACCACCACTACTACTACTACTGTTTACTACTTACTACTCTACTATTAATACCCTGACCGCAACAAAACTACCAAACTGCTACTACTACCACTACCACTACTACTAATACTACTACTGCTGCTACTACTACTACTACTACTACTACTACCAATACTACAACAAACAACAGTAGCAGCAGCCAAACCAATTGGTATAATAAGTTCATATGCTCCAACACTTTGATCTGGTAACTTAATGTTAATGTACGAGTCATTTTGCTAATGACATAACTTCGCTATGTGCATTCTTAATTGCCTTTTGGAACTCAGTATCCCATTCTGTTTTTTTATCCTTTTATCTGCTAGTGCTGCTGCTACTACTGCTGCTATTGCTGCTGTTATTGCTGCTACTACTGCTGCTGCTACTACTGCTGCTACTACTGCTGCTGCTACTGCTGCTGCTAATACTGCTGCTATTACAATATAGATTAATACTGCCACCACTAGTCTTTGTCCCATTCAACGATGATTTTGATTCCATTGAGATAAATCGAGGTTGAATTCGCAAAAATTACTAGAATACTAAAACAAGAATCATTAAATATAGCTCTAAAAGATTAAAGTTGTAATAAAACGAATGCTTGCTGGTCGGATACTTTTATTAACTCTACAAATTTTGTTCGTAATAGAGAAATTATTTTCGTTCTTAGATGAAGTTTCCAAGGGTCATGAAAAAATTGTCATTTAATGATTTTCGTTGTATAAGAGTTCGCTATAAGGAGGTTTGACTCTATACACAGATGCATTTATAACAGACATCACAAACCTTTACAATAACGAACGACGAAGACACGTACAATATCTCGTTCGCACAATGCAGCACCATGCGTCGTGTCACCTTAATTGGCAATAGCATATTCATTGACCTACACACCACACACACCATACACACACAAATACACACACACCACACACACAGATACGCAGACACACAAAAACAAAACATAAACAAACTGTTACATGAGTATATAATCTTACACTTAAAATTATCATGCATCTACAGTATGTAAGAAATACTCT